CTTGCAAAGCCACAAAAAGTGTTCAAAACTAAGTTCTTCATCATCATGAAGTTAAAGAGCATTTAAGGTGAGGTGAGGTGAAATTGGGTTTAACGTTGTGCTTGAGAATATTTCGCTCATATGACGACGTGCATGCGTGTGTATGTGTATATGTGCGGCTGCTTGTACTAGCCCAGACTGAAGCTGGTTTTATAGTGCTAGCCCACTGAGTTACCATGCCGCAGTGAAGCATGAATACCCCACTCAGACACATTATACTGACTCTGAGCCGACCAGTCCTTGTTGTACCCATTAATGCCGAGCGCCAGGCAGGGACCAACAAGTACCATATTTTAACGTCTTTTGGTATGACGCGGTCGGGGATCGAACCCGCGACCTTCCGCTCTGCGGGCGGACGCTCTGTCCACTACACCACGGAGGCGGCCCAAAGAGCATTTAAGCGAGATGATTACCGTGCTAATGTAAATCTCACGCTTCCCTTAAAGTGATTTCTGTGACAGGCATTATGTATACATGAGCAAAATCAGCAGTTTTAACGCAAAGTGCTGTTCTTGTAACATAAGCGCTTATACGCATTAACGTCCTTGCAAATGATAGAATATATCGATATTTCCCCAGTGATAAGTACTGTTAATAATGAGGAATTCCTAATGATTTACATCATTTGCAAATATGATTTTGTTGAGTGATCTGGTATATTTGACCTTTCAGCGAGCTGCGGGAACAATGAAGACTGGAAGTAGACCTCGGACTGTTGTTTATGGTAAAGGGTTTAAATGGCACTAGTAATAGCAATGGCAACGTCATTACTAATGCTCGTCTTGTAGAATCCCCGCGGGTCAAAATTCTAGCTGCGACAAATGTTTCCTTTTACAAAATAATTAGTTTGTAATGTAGTCCATTATTGATCAAACCGTTGTTGAAAGAATCCCTGGTACACGTGTATTGGTCTGTTGGATATATTTGCCAAGCAGTTAGATTATATTTTTGTAGCACACCGTAAAGAGCCTGGTTAGAATTGGTCCTTCAGCAACCCATGCTTCTAAGAGTCGACTAACGGGATCGGGCGGTCAGGCTCGCTGACTTGATTGACACATGACGGACTGAGTTTGGTTTTACGCCGCGCTTTTAGCAATATTCGAGCAACATCACGGCGGGGGACACCAGAAATGGGCTTCACACATTGTACCCATGTGGGGTTGACACATGAAATCGTATCCCCACTGCGTAGATCGAAGCTCATGATGTTGATCATTCTGGTCCAGACTCCATTATGTACCGATCACGCCATATAGCTGGAATATTGCTGAGCGAAACGTTAAACAAATAATATATTTGTAGCGCTCTTTAGCCTAGGTGGCGCAGTTATATGAGGCTCTGCAATTCCTCGCAATGAATTTCATTCCTTTGTCATGCAAGTTGAATCTTATGGTCATGGGTTCGAATCCCACTTGCCTCTGATACTGGTTGTTTGTCTGGGTTAACGTCAAGGAACTACTGCAGTCAGCTTTCGAGTGATTCTGTGGCATGTGTTTGGGTAAATGCTTCCAGAAACCGAACCGACAAAGGCCACACCTTTTGTGTTCCGATTGGTCTGATAATAGAATGGGCGGGACTTGTCTTACATTGTGGTGCTGAATGCTGTCGCTGATTGGACGTGCCCTCGACAGTTTCACTGTTGGTGGTGTGTTAATAACTAATTAAATAAACAGTTTGTAAAGTTGTTAATGTTGATAAAGAGTGTCATCTAGTTTCTGAAAACAACTCATATTTTACACACACACAAAAAACCCCCAAACAACGGCAACAAAAAACCTGGTTTCTAAATAATATAATATTAAGTGGTAATCTAGACTTGCCACATATTCTAGACTTGCATGGGCTTACTTGGCTATAGTTGCTTCAGGATCTGTATGAGAGACTATTGCATATATATTTTACTTCAACGTGCTTTTGGTTTTGCATCCTGGGTAAATTTACATTTAATGAGCACATCGTTTTTATGTATATATTGCCATGAGGCAAAGAAGAGAAGTGAACACATAATTACCTTATGCACTTGGGCACCTCGTTTGTTTCAGATGTCAGCACCAGAACGTCAATCCCCGACGTCACAGAAATGAGAACAGCATCTAAAAATCTGTGAATACAGAAACTCGTTGAAATAATGATTACGGTGACGTGTAACTGTCACAATATTATTATATATTATCGACTATGTTATGTTTTTCAAGCAAGGCTCTAAAAATCTTTGTTGTTGATCAAAATACAAATGAAGCAGACTATGCCTATTTCAAGATATGTTCATTCTTGGGCACTTGTTTTATTGATGTTTTCTAACGATCTATCAGTATGAAATATTAATCTTGAAGAATAATGTACATAAGAAAACAAAAAGGGTTTACGGCTGCGTCGAGAAGAACTGTTTTCTTAAGATTCTCCTTCCACACTTATACATATTTAAAATCATCTGTGTAATATCAGCAATATGGAATAAAGCATGCTGAATAGCTGGTTCATTTCAACATCAATACCTCACGCGACCACAGTAGGGTGTGTTTGTACATTAGTACCCTGAGTGCTGTCAGTATAGGTCTCCAAACAAATAATATTGAGATTAAGTGCAAATGAGATCCATATTTGCTTACATTGTCTTGTCACGTGTTTTCTTGTGGGAAACAATTGTTATGTGAATAAAGCTCAAGGCAACAGATAGTGCGTTGTTATTGTCACCGTCGATATTATTACAAAACTTTATATGAGTAGTATTCATGTGGTGGTGGATGGACGTTTTGTTTGAGAAAGAATTGTTTTCAGTTGGTGTTTTAAATCAGCATGAAAAATGCCGGACTCTCTTCACGGATTTACACAGTTTACAGTTTACACAATTTGCAGCTTACACATTTTAAACACATGCTATTTTAAAATACAAATTTGTGATCCTGTCAATTATCGTCAGTTTTTATAATCTAAATTGATATTGCATAATGTATGCATTTTCCCGTCACAATATGACTTAAATATTTCCGATATGACGTTAAATGTTAACTCAATCACCGTGTATACATCCATAACCAAAATATTGAAATTAAATTTTAATGGTAATAATATCTTAATAGTACTACCCTTCTCGCGAATCTTGATGTAATCGTTCAGACAGCCGTAGCTGCCGTTACATGTTTAACAGTTTTATTTTTCCCCGAGTTATCGCTGCACTTTAGGTCTACTCGTCACAATAAGAAGTACTCAAACGAATTTACTTGATAATCTACTTCTTTGCAGTGAACACAAGGCCCACCCTCTGCCAACAGCAACCACCCCCTCCGTGGTGTAGTGGCTAGAGCGTCCGCCCGCAGAGCGGAAGGTAGCGGGTTCGATGCCCGTCATACCAAAAGACGTTAAAATATTGTACATGTTGGTCCCTGCCTGGCGCTCGGCATTAATGGGTAGAACAAGGACTGGTTGGCTCGGAGTCAGTATAATGTGTCTGATTGGTGTATTCATGCTTCACTGCGGCCTGGTATCTCAGTGGGCTAGCACTATAAAACCAGCTTAAGTCTGGGCTAGTACAAGCAGCCGCACATACACACACACACGCATGCACGTCGTCATATGAGCGAAATATTCTCAAGCACGACGTTAAACCCAATTTCACCTCACCTCACCCCAACAGCAACCACACATACATGAATTCAATAACCCGTTTTGGAAACTCACATATTCAATTAAAAACTAAAACACAATTACGTTTGAAATTTACAAACTGTTACTTAAGACAGCATTTGTTACGGGATGTTTTCATTTTCAGAACTTGAGTGTCGTTTTACGACATAACAACAAACAAAAAATTGCAGTTCTTACAAATGACCGACACACACAATGAGCCGTGTGGGCATCTGCATATGAACCAGCCGTTACACTTGAGTGCACACCCACCCGCTCTGACTGGGTTCGGTATCCCGGCTGCTTCGTTTCTTGGGAAGTAAACCCAAATACAAAATATTGCACTTTTGATTTGCGATTGTACGCTTATAATTTTGTTTTTATGTTTTTTCATAACCAGCAATGTATATTATATGTCATGAATAAGTGGTAATTGTGTTTTAATTATGTTTGATTTTTTGGTTGCATGTGACCTTTAAATGAGAGTTATCTATAGTACAATATTGCAATGGGCGACCTACGCTGGGTGGATGGTGGGTCATTATTAATTGATAGACTGAGGAACAAAGGAAACTACATGTATATCTCTCAGTTGATTAAGGATGTTTGGTTTTCGCTTATTACCACCATATAGCTGGAATATTGATGAGTGTGGCGTTAAACAACAAATACTTACGAGACACTGTTAATATACACTTCGTACTACGTGTCGATTACGCACACACAGACATTATTTTCAATAAAGAATAGAAAACACTCAGTCGGTTAGAAGCTGTTGATGCAGTGATGGATCGATGAGGGTTTAGCTAGTGGTTAAATGGCCTGACACGGCGAGTTGCCATATGTTTACCCGCTTAACGATACGATGCACTGATCTGACTTAGAAGTTTCGTATATTTTACAGGCGCTTTAAAGTAGTGAAAGGAAACCCACACGTTCTGCCCGTATGTTTGAATGTGAATTGAAGAAATTACCGTATTATATCCGAACAACAGTTCTTTATCAAACGATGATCTAAAATCCATAATTATATTTTTTATTCACATGAATTTTTACAATTTGGGTCATAATTTTGAAGTTTTAAGAAGATTGTCTTCTAATTGATTGCTTTGCACCAGATGATGACTGTTTTCAAAATAATATAAGCGAGAAGCAAAAAAAACGTACCGGTAATCAGATATCATCTTATGTATCTGGTTCTGGATATGGAAGAATGACTGGAAGTACTCTGCCACAAAAATATTGTATCAACACTGAGTCTCGAACCGGCAACATGACTCCTAGAAGTATAATCCCTGACAAACCTAACAGTTACCTCCCTTGGATTATCTGCGCAACAACTTCCGTGTTTACATGGAACACATGTAACCAGCTAATTGGATTTTTCAACGTGTCCGTGCAACATGTTCTGGAACATTCAGCGCCATACGTGGCCTGGAACACAGCATGTGAGTTATTACTCTTAGCACAGATGAAAACGAAGACCCGCGAATTACGCGCAACACGGAGTACCGAACAGTGAAGGAACGCGACTAACTAGTCAAAATGGGTCAGTGTCTACGTCACACAGATTACCTTGCGCGAAATGAGGTCACACTATACAATCTCAGGACTTTGACACATATTATACACGAAGGAGATGTTGACACCATCATATCCTATATCAAGGAGAACCGCATTTCAGAGAAGTCTTATAAACAACTACCTATGTATCGAATAGGACCTCTGGAGACGGCCTGCAGTAAAGGCTGTGTGGATTTAATAAATGCATTGATAGAGGAGGGATTTTCTCCCCGGGGTATGCTGAGTGTATCCCCCATGAACATCGCATGTCAATACAATAACTTAGATGTGGTGAGAACTCTTGCAGACAAGTATCGTGTAAGTTTAAAGAAACCTGACAGAAACGGAAACACTCCATTAAAGAGAGCAATACAGTTTAATTCTGTGTGTGTCTTTAAGTATTTAAGGCAGAAGGGCATATCCTTGTCAGTGTTGAATCGAGGAAGTGAAGTCTTCTTCCCTCTTCATGATGCAGCAAACAAAGGACATTCTGACATGTGCCGGCTTCTTATAGATGAAGGTTGTGATGTCAAAGAGATCTGTACTGATGGAACCACTCCTTTACATCTTGCTGCGATGAATCTCCGAGCAGATACTTGCCGTGTGTTGTTGGAAGCCGGAGCAGACATTAATACCATATCCATTTGTGATGTAACAAAAACATTCATCGAAGGCAATTTAAAAGGTATTTTGAAAAATAGAGCCTATCTGGATACAGTGAGGCTCCTTGTGTCCTATGGGGCTGACCCCGAGGTTCAAGATAACAGTGGCAATACTCCAGTCCATCTGGTTTTAGGGAACACTTCGGCCCTCCGGTGTTTGACCTTTGGTTTAAATGTAGCATTAGATAAGGTCAACAATAACAACCAAACTCCGTATTCTTTGGCCCTTCAAAGTGAAGATCTGGCAGCTGCTGCAGGTAATCTGTTAAGGGCTGGGTACTTCCCTGTCTTGAAGGAAAGTTTGGTGAAAGTGGCGGAGGACCATCCGTATCTGAAGACAAGGCATGGTCAATACATGCTGGGTAATCTCAGAACAATCACATCCAATCCCAGGAGTCTTCAGGACATGTCTTGTTTCGTGCTTCGACGGCTGTTAGGTGTTAGACTTCATCATGTTGTCCATCTTTTACCTCTTCCAGAGAAGCTCAAGGACATCCTGCAGCTGAAACATCTACTTCCACCAGCGGTAAGCCTGTGTTTACATTGGGCTCTTTGTCTATATGAGGATGGACTATATTATTTTAAGGAGATTGGTGTATTTTAACAAGATGACACGAATAGCCTGGTTGGGTTATTTGTGTCAGTTTTCTGTTGAAACGATTTCTCTTTACTTTGGGGCACCACCATTGGTGATTTCTGGTTTGAGTCCCAGATGCGCCCTGAGATGAACCCAGGGTTGTCAGCTCCATAACCTTGTCTTCAACTTGTTTTCTTTATAACAACTGACTTTAAACAACTTCCTCTCTCTCTCACACACGTCTCTCTTACATGTCTCTCTTACATGTCTCACTGTACTGATGTCTCATACCATCATGTGTTTCAGGTGGTGCGGTCGTATGTCTACATAAACCAGCCTGATATTAGAAGCCCATTAACTGTACATGGAAAAGAACCAATTTGTTCGTGATTTACTGTATGTTTGCCTTGTATTTCCATGCTGAGAATGTATGTTTGTGAGAATGTAAGTGTATTGCTGAGAATGTAAATGTAATGCTGAGAATGTAATGAGAATGTAAATGTAATGCTGAGAATGTGTCATGCTGAGAATGTAAGTGTAATGCTGAGAATGTAAATGTAATGCTGAGAACGTAAGTGTAATGCTCAGAATGTAAATGTAATGCTGAGAAAGTGTCATGCTGAGAATGTAAGGCTAATGCTGAGAATGATAATGTAATGCTGAGAATGTAAATGTAATGCTGAGAATGTCTCATGCTGAGAATGTAAGTGTAATGCTGAAAATGTAAGTGTAATGCTGAGAATGTAAATGTAATGCTGAGAATGTGTCATGCTGAGAATGTAAGTGTAATGCTGAGAACGTAAGTGTAATACTGAGAATGTGTCATGCTGAGAATGTAAGTGTAATGCTGAGAATATGTGTGTATTACTGAGAATGTACATGTATTGCTGCGAATGTAAGTGTAATGCTGAGAATGTAAGTGTAATACTGAGAATGTGTCATGCTGAGAATGTAAGTGTAATACTGACAATGTATGTGTAATGCTGCGAATGTAAGTGTAATGCTGAGAATGTAAGTGTAATGCTGAGAATGTAAGTGTAATGCTGAGAATGTGTCAAAATGTAATGCTGAGAATGTAAGTGTAATGCTGAGAATGTGTCATGCTGAGAATACTGAGAATGTGTCATGCTTGAGGAATGTAATACTGTATGTGTATTGCTGTGAATGTAAGTGTGAAGTAAATTACACTGAATGAATGTAATGTGTTAAATGCTATTAATACTGAGAATGTCATCATGCTGATAATGTAAGTATAAGTGCTGAGAATGTAAATGTGAGAATGTGTCATGCTGAGAATGTAATGCTGAAGAGCATATGTAAATGATCATGCTGAGAATGTAATTGTGTTGGTGAGAGCATACATGCTGAGAATGTGTCATGCTGAGAATGTAAGTGTGAGAATGTAAATGTAATGCTGAGAATGTGTCTTGGCTGAGAATGTAATGTAATACATGTGCTGAGAATGTAAGTGTCATGCTGAGAATGTAAATGTCATGCTGAGAATGTAATTGTAATGCTGAGAAATGTAATGTAATGCTGAGAATGTAAGTGTAATGCTGAGAATGTAAGTGTAATGCTGAGAATGTAAGTGTAATGCTGAGAATGTAAATGTAATGCTGAGAATATAAATGTAATGCTGAGAATGTGTCATGCTGAGAATGTAAGTGTCATGCTGAGAATGTGTGTGTATTGCTGTGAATGTAAGTGTAAGTTTACGCTGTGAAAGTAAGTGTTAAATCTGAGCTTGTAGGTCATCATGCTGATAATGAAAATATAAGTGTTGACACTGAAGGTGAAGGTGATCATGTTCATTATGTAAGTGTTGGCACAGAGCATATGGGTGATCATGCTGAGAATGTAAGTGTTGGTAAGAGCATATTGGTGACCATGCTGAGAATGTAAGTGTTGGCACATAGCATATTGGTGATCATGCTGAGAATGTAAGTATTGGCACAGAGCATATGGGTGATCATGCTGAGAATGTAGTTGTTGGCACAGAGCATATGGGTGATCATGCTGAGAATGTAGGTGTTGGCACAGAGCATATGGGTGATCATGCTGAGAATGTAGTTGTTGGCACAGAGCATATGGGTGATCATGCTGAGAATGTAGTTGTTGGCACAGAGCATATGGGTGATCATGCTGAGAATGTAAGTGTTGGCACAGAGCATATGGGTGATCATGCTGAGAATGTAAATGTTGACACAGAGCATATGAATGTACATGTTCATTATGTAAGTGTAACACCAATCATGTGGGTGATCATACTGAATATGTAGTTGTTAACACTGAACATGGAGGTGATCAGGCTTAGAATGTAAGTGTTGATGCTGAACATTTAGGTGATCATACTGATAATGTAAGTGTTGACACTGAGGTGAGGTGAAATGGAGTTTAACGTCTTACTTGAGAATATTTCGCTCACATGCATGTGTATGTGTGGCTGCTTGTACTAGCCCAGATTTAAGCTGGTTTTGTAGTGCTAGCCCATATATAGTGCTGAGATACCATGCCGCAGTTAAGCATAAATACCCCACTCAGACACAGTATACTGCCTCCGAGCCGACCAGTCCTTGCACCCATTAATGCCAAGCGCCAGGCAGAGACCAACAAGTGCCACATTTTAACGGCTTTTGGTATAACGCGGCTGGGGATCAAACCCTGTGACCTTCCGCTCTCCTGGCGGATGCTCAAACCACTACACCACAGAGACGGTCTTGACACTGAAGGTGAAGGTGATCATGTTGATAATGTAAGTGTTCACACTGAACTTGCAGGTGATCATTCTGAGTATGTAAGTGTTATGTGATCATGCTGAGAATGAGAATTTTTATTTTGTAAGTAGTGACACTGAAGCTGTAGGTGATCGTGCTCAGAATGTCAGTGTTGACACTGACAGGTAGGTTTTCATGCTGAGAATGTAAGTGTTGGTACTGAACATGTGAGTGATCATGCTGAGAATGTAAGTGTTGACTCTGAATGTGTAGGTGATCATGTTGAGAATGTAAGTGTTGACACTGAACATGTGGCTGATCATGCTGAGAATGTAAGTGTTGACTCTGAATGTGTAGGTGATCATTCTGAGAATGTAAGTGTTGACTCTGAATGTGTAGGTGATCATGCTGAGAATGTAAGTGTTGACTCTGAATGTGTAGGTGATCATGCTGAGAATGTAAGTGTTGACTCTGAATGTGTAGATGATCATGTTGAGAATGTAAGTGTTGACACTGAACATGTGGGTGATCATGCTGAGAATGTAAGTGTTGACTCTGAATGTGTAGGTGATCATGTTGAGAATGTAAGTGTTGACACTGAACATGTGGCTGATCATGCTGAGAATGTAAGTGTTAACTCTGAATGTGTAGGTGATCATTCTGAGAATGTAAGTGTTGACTCTGAATGTGTAGATGATCATGCTGAGAATGTAAGTGTTGACTCTGAATGTGTAGATGATCATGCTGAGAATGTAAGTGTTGACTCTGAATGTGTAGGTGATCATGCTGAAAATGTAAGTGTTGACACCGAACATGTGGGTGATCATGCTGAGAATGTAAGTGTTGACTCTGAATGTGCAGGTGATCATGTATAGAATGTAAGTGTTGACTCTGAATGTGTAGGTGATCATGCTGAGAATGTAAGTGTTGACTCTGAATGTGTAGGTGATCATTCTGAGAATGTAAGTGTTGACTCTGAATGTGTAGGTGATCATGCTGAGAATGTAAGTGTTGACTCTGAACATGTGGGTGATCATGCTGAGAATGTAAGTGCTGACTCTGAATGTGTAGGTGATCATGCTGAGAATGTAAGTGTTGACTCTGAACATGTGGGTGATCATGCTGAGAATGTAAGTGTTGACTCTGAACATGGGGGTGATCATACTGAGAATGTAAGTGTTGACTCTGAATGTGTAGGTGATCATGCTGAGAATGTAAGTGCTGACTCTGAATGTGTAGGTGATCATACTTAGAATGTAAGTGTTGACTCTGAATGTGTAGGTGATCATACTTAGAATGTAAGTGTTGACTCTGAATGTGTAGGTGATCATACTGAGAATGTAAGTGCTGACTCTGAATGTGTAGGTGATCATGCTGAGAATGTAAGTGTTGACACTGACGGGTAGGTTATGCTGAGAATGTAAGTGTTGACTCTGAACGTGTAGGTGATTATACTGAGAATGTAAGTGTTGACTCTGAATGTGTAGGTGATCATGCTGAGAATGTAAGTGTTGACCTCTGAGAAGTGTTCACACATGCATGTAGGTGTTCATGCTGACAATGCAATAAAGTTGTATAAGTGAACACATTATGCCTTGAATCTTTTTTGATAAAAACGCTTTACTTTTAAAAGAATGTCTCACAGGTTTTAAACAGATGTCTATTTAAAGTTTAACTGACATATTTAGGGGAAAAGGAAAATCGTACTTGTCAGAATGTTGGGTGAAGAAACCTATTACAGAACACAATGATGACAGATAACTTAGCTGCCGAGGGAAACATTCAAATAAAGAGATGAGTGAAACGTCTCATGACTTCATTACGGCTGGCAACCCGCTGAGTTCCCGGATGTAGTTCGAGTTGTGTGCAGAACGAAATGACACTTTAGAGTTGTGTGCATTACTTTTCTGTGGTGAGTATTTAACACTCTGGTGGTGACATTTGATAGTCTTTTGTCGATTTCTCATCACATCCGATTTAGACACATCAATAATGAAATTATGCGTTTATCGTTTGTGGTAGAACCACATTGCTCACAGCTACTCACTGATAAATGGGACAAGCCCACGTGTGATGATGCGAACACGAAATAGCAATCGTGTATTTTACGGACGCTTCACGGAGAAAGGTGAAGTTTCTTATATCATCACAACAACCCACTGTTACATGTATTCGTAAGAAATGCCAGGGATGATATTAACATTTTTTAAAATAAAATAAATATAGAGATCACAGATGACAAACGTAACTTTCTTTATTTGCCCTCTGTTGTAATAGAAACGATTGCCTAAGTGAGGTGAGGCGAAATTGGGTTTAACGTCGTGCTTGAGAATATTTCGCTCATATGACGACGTGCATGCGTGTGTATGTGTATGTGTATGTAAATTCCACGCCGCAGTGAAGCATGAATACCCCACTCAGACACATTATACTGACTCCGAGCCGACCAGTCCTTGTTCCCATTAATGCCGAGCGCCAGGCAGGGACCGCTCTCCGGGCGGACGCTCTAACCACTACACCACGGAGGCGGTACGATTGCCTAAGTGTATAGTGCTTTAATTGTTATGTAAATCCAGATTCAGGCTGTATTACCTCCCTTTTATTTGGTCTCTTTTTGTTGTGGGTATTTTGGTGCTTGGGTGGGTGGTGGAGGAATGGGCCTCGTAGTAGAGATAGGAAAGTAGTAGTGATGGTAGCCGTAGTAGTCGTCGAAGAAGCAATAGCAACAGGAGTGGAAGCAGAAATAGCAGGAAAAGTAGAAGCTGTAACTGGAATAGGAGTATTAGCAATAGCAGCGGTAATATTGTAAATTTTACTTAATATTTAGCACCCTTTCCAAACACAAAACTTTTACTTTGGACAGATTGGTGTTTTACTTTCAAAATACAATACACAAGAGTTATTTCCCTTTCTACACACCAGACCGAAGCTCCATTTAAGTGTTTTGTTATTCTCCATGCACCATAGTGGTAATATCAATTACAGGCCATCATTTCTCTCAAGCTGCAACCTGGCAAAACATTTGCCGCCTTCTCTGAAATCGATTGTAAGAAAAGATACGTAGCTGCTGCATTTCCTGCAAGATTTTCGTAACAGCAAACAGACAATCGTCATCGATTCATGAAATCATGTCATGTGTGGATTCATTAAAGTCAGCAGACTGCTTATCTGTTACGAGCTGGATTGTGTTTAACATTAGGAAACACCCTTTGGGCTATTGCAAGGCATCAAAGATTCACGACGCGAGACTGTATCAGTTCACACGATTTCTAAAACTTCTAACGACTCACCACAAGGTGAGCCCTACCCTTATCTGCAACACAAAGTTCAAGGTCCTCTGTAGAAGGGTTGGTTGGTTTGTTGTTTAACGCCGCACACAACGATATTCCAGCTATATGGCGGCGGTCTGTAAATAATCAACCAAGTCAGCGAGTCTGACCACCCGATCCCGTTAGTCGCTCTTACGACAAGCGTGGGTTGCTGAAGACCAATTCTAACCCGGATCTTCACGGGTCCGTATGTAGAAGGGAATTTGGGCGCGGTGGGCGAGCTTGCTAAGGCGCCAGGCTAATGATCCAGAGGGCATGAGCTGCCGGGATCGAGCCCACCTGTGACCGGGTGTAAAAACTTTGGAGTCAACTTTGTGTGCAGACTCTTTCAGTGTTGTTACAACCCCTAGTGTACAGTACACTTGGTGGCCACATGAATACGTACAAACACCTAGTTGTGGGTACCGCAACGTGCTGCAAACTTGGACAAAGTACTGTGACAATGTGTCCCAGTCCACCCAGCTGGTACCTCGTAAGGATGGGAAAACCGCCTTGTGGCAGCAAGATTTGTATCATCCCCAGGTAGTTGAGATTGATAATAAGATGTGCCGTTGAGATTGATATCCAATGATCGAGGAAAAAAATGCCAGTGCCTTGAGCATGCACTAGTGCATGGATATGTGCGCTATATAAATATCCAATAATAAATTAAAATAATAATAAATAATGATGCTTTAAATCCCGCGAAGATACAGGTTAGAACAATAGGGCGACAGAAACCCCTGCTTGTCGCATCAGGCTACAAACGGAACCAAACAGTCAGGCTCGCAGACTTGGATGATCCATGTCATGGTATCAAGATTCCTTAGATCAATGCTCATGATGTAAATCACGGACTATTTTCAGACCACCGTCAAGTGGCTGATGTTTTGTATAGCAATCAGCGGTGTCCGTTAATAATGCTCTCAGCCTATATAATGGAGCTATGCTTGCATTACATAAATACAAAAGTGAGGTGAGGTGAGGTGAAATTGAGACGTCGTGCTTGAGAATATTTCGCTCATATGACGACGTGCATGCGTGTGTATGTGTATGTGCGGCTGCTTGTACTAGCCCAGACTTAAGCTGGTTTTATAGTGCTAGCCCACTGAGATACCATGCCGCAGTGAAGCATGAATACCCCACTCAGACACATTATACTGACTCCGAGCCGACCAGTCCTTGTTGTACCCATTAATGCCGAGCGCCAGGCAGGGACCAACAAGTACCATATTTTAACGTCTTGTGGTATGACGCAAATACAAAAGTGAGCTCAATATAGACCAGTGATCAATATAGTCATCTGCAAATATCTCATCCATGATTAAACTGCATGCACACTGTGTTCAATGCATCTATGGTGTTTCATGAAAAATCTGTCTATCGTGAGAGATTATCCGTTTTGGATTAGTAGCATTATTTTACTCACTGCATCAACACCGACGTCCTAAAATGAATGACCAGTAAAATGCTTCTGTGTTTTATGAAACAATGATATCCCCTCAGCATAATGACATGTTGGGCGGTGGGGTAGCCTGGTGGTTAAAGCGTTCGCTCGTCACGCCGAAGACCCGAGTTCGATTCCCCACATGAGACAATGCTTGAAGCCCATTAGTTGTGTCCCCCGCCATGATAGTGCTGGAATATTGCCAAAAGCGGCGTAAAACTAAATTCACTCACTCATTCAATATGGAGTCAAACCCGGTCGGTCGGAGAGACAAACCGATTCCTCAACCACAAGGCTACCCAGCTGCGCTCTGACTGATCAGACTGGTTTTGATTGTGCGCATATGTTTTCAAACTGGAAGCTTTATTCAGCCTTGGTACGCATATGCATAAGCGTTCCCTCACTGACAGCAGACTATCGTAATTACATGTAAAACATGACTAATATTTGATCAGGAGACAATGTAACATGAACGTTAATATGTGCTGAAATATTTTTGAGTGGTTACAAAAGTTGTTAAGTAGTGCATTTTGATTATTTGGTATAATGAAATTTTCTTTGGCGAAATGGTTATCGCGTTATATAAATGTGATACTTGATTAATATTAATCAAAAGACCTTTAGTTTTTCCTTTCTGACAACCCGGATGCTTATGACGTTTTCCATCATATTTCAGTATTGCAACATATTGCTGACACAGTTTCAATTCAATTTCT